TCGAAAAAATCGTTCTATGATTTGCTTTCTGTTTTCAGATGACCAATTAAGAACATATTCAAGAAAAAAAATCCAGGAATATTCTGAAGATAGTGATAAGAGTGAAGATCTTGAATTTTTAAACTACAGTCCAAAAAACACTTTTTGGACTAAACCTACAAGTTCCAATGTCTCTACCGCTTCTAGGATGATCCTGGATCCAAACGAAATAATATTCACACCCTCCTCAACAAAATCACTTGTTAAAAAGAAGTTCAATAAGGTAACTTTGAAATTGGATGGGTTAAAGAAAAAGTTTAAAGCTCAAAAAATGCAACTTTTTCGGTTGAAAAGAAAGTCCACGACTCAGAGTTTTTTAGCTAATTTATTAAAAGACAAAAGCCCCAGCGTAAAAACATTTATTGGAATGCAAATATTTCCATCACACAAAAAGAAAGTATGGACAACGGATCAAAAACACTTAGCTTTGTCCCTTTATTATAAGTCGCCCGACTGTTATAATTTTTCAGATAGCACCTTTCATTTTCTCTTCCATCGGTTCGAACCATACAATCCAGGTTAAAAATAATTTACTTTAAAACTGGCATAGATACCACTTTTGTTAAAAAATTGGCAATCAAAGTTAAAACCATGTGTAAGAACGAGCGCGAGTGTGCAGTCCTTTTCGATGAAATTGCATTGAAACCGAAGCTAGATTATAATGAATCATTTAATTATATTGAAGGGTATGAAGACTTGGGATTTCTTGGTCGCAAAAACGAGATCGCAAATACAGCATTGGTTTTTTATGTCAGAGGGGTATTTCATAACTGGAAAATTCCCTAATGCTATTTTACTTCAAAGGGGCCAGTTAGGGGAGATATATTGGCCAAATTGAATAAAGAAGTTATCCATTCATTTCACAAAATCAACCGAAAATCTAACACCATTGATTGAAAAGACCAAGGAAAATACATTAACACACAAACCATCAGACTCTACTCCTATTCCAAATATTAGAGATAATATAAGCTCAGTTCATAGCTTGGAAACTTGTTCAAATGTTTATGTTGCTGGATATTTTGCCCATATTCTATTGAAAAGGTATAATTATGAAAATAATTGTGAAGATTTTTTATTAAAAGACGAAATGGAAATAGTCCACGAAAAAGAATTTTTTTTGCTAAACAAGGATTTTGCCAAATCCAATTATATTTCCAGTTTAAAAAGACCATCTGAAGAATTCTTAAATTTGTCCCAAAATTTAATCAATAGATTTAATACACTTTTCGATAGATTAAAATTAAATTAAAACATTTTTAAGTGCATGTATAGACTTTTATTAGATGAAGTTGATGTCCAACTTATCAATTTATGTCCGGAGCACATTGAGAAATTTATTAAGCTGTTAATAAAAACCATGCTATACAAACAATTAAAATGGGATTCTGAAAAAATGCATCATCAAAAAAATAAAGATTTGGGAAATAAACCTCATAGAAAAATAAGAATTTTGTCGAATACATAATCTGAAGTCTCTCTGATAGTACTCTGAAATACACATATGTACCATTTTTTCTGCCAACTCAGAAATGAAAAAAATTAGAAATGTTTTCATGTATTATTTATTAGTTAAGTTATTGTTTATTATTTAATTTTAAATATAGCAGTGCCGTACATACGAAAGTCCTACTTTTATAAAATTAAAGATGTTTACGATTATGAAAACGAATAGGTAATCTGTTAAACACGTACATACATTTAGAGTACAGTCTCCAAAAAGACAATAAATAAATAAAATATATGTATATATGTGTAGACAGTCTACCCAAGATTCATTTCACGAAGGTTTGTACTTTTGACATCGATAATATCATTGGAAAAAAGGTTTGTCGTAATTAATTCATATAAATTCAATAGCGTTTAGATTTTGTATCGTATTGAATAACTTCTGGTTTAAAAGCCGCCGAACGTTTCTGACGTCATTGATTTGTTTCAGTTAATTTTTATTTGTTAAAAAGAAAGGCAAAAGTACAAACCCTCGGGAAATAAACAATAGAAAACTTTTTCTTGTTATATCTCGATTGTATAGTGTAAATGTTATAAAACTATGAAGAAAGATGGTTTTGTAGGAGTCAACCATTATATTTTGTTCTGAGTTAGAATATTCTCAGTACCTACCTGTTTAGTAGTTAACTGTGAGTTGATTCCCTCATTTTTTCCAGTTTCATTATCTTTTTAATGAAAATGTAAATTTCACTTTTGTTATGGTTATTATTACTTAGATATAATAATTTTTTTTTTTTTTTTTTGAAATTTTGGAATAAAGTTGTTTTATTTGTATCTCCCTCTTACTTTTATGTATGTGCTCGACATTCAAAAAAAAAAAAAAATCTTTCATATAGAATATTTTTCCATAATTCGTAATAAAAAAGTCTCTCATATAAATTTTGTCTCAAGAAAAGGTAACAATCATTTTTGAAAGAAAATCTAAATTGCCACGGTGACACGATTTAATGCACGGGCTTTGCGTATCTTCCCAAACTCCTTCAATCAACGCTAATATTGTATGTGCTCTAGCTGGCTTAATAAGAGATTATATCATATTTCCTCGAGCAGATGAGTACAACACTCCACCAAATGTGAGTATTTTTTGAACATAAAAAGTAAAAACAACTAACCGCGAATGTTTCAGGCATTTCAGCAGCGATCTGGAGGATTTCCTGGAGTTGTGGGTGCTATAAATAGCAGTCACATCCCTATTAAACAACCACAGGGAAATCAACATGATTTTTATAATAGAAAGGGATTTCACTCGATAATTTTACAAGGTTAGTAATAGTTATAAAAAAAAGTAATTCTATTTTCATCTATTTGCTTCATTGTAGGAACTTTTGATCATATGGGTAAATTCATAGACTGTCACATTGGTTCGCCTGGAAGAATTCGTGATGCTAGAGTTTTACGTAACAGTAATCTACTGAACATTTAAATAATGAAAATCCATTGCTGCCAGCTAATTTACACCTCATTGGAGATTCGGCATACCCTCTAATGATGAACTTAATGGTCCCTTTCAGAAACACAGGGCATTTGACACGTGCTCAAATAAATTACAATGTGAAATTAAGTTGCATAAGATCAATCATTGAAAGGGCCTTTGGAATTATTAAAAATAAATTTAGACGCATACAATTTTTGGATATTTCTGATCTTGATTTTGGTAACAAGATAATTGCTGCTGTAGTTGTAATATACAACTTTTTATTGACACAGATTGACTGTCATGTCATTGCATGCAGTCTACGGCATCACATATAGTATTTTGATTCATGCCTGTGGTTGTCAGCGGGCAGCGGGAAGGAGAGGAGGAGCCACACTACTTCTGCCACCAGACCGCGCTTTGTTGTGTTTAAACGGCTCTAGTTAGTTTATTATTGAAAATAGATCGGTACATAATTAAGACGAAAGAAAGCCAATTAAATTTGCCAGTTTTTGAGCAAAAAATTAGTTAATACTCCAATATATAAAGGAGTTATCGCAGGTTAAAGCAAACATATATTTTACTCATTCGCGCCGTGTCTACAAAATAAATGCTTTTTTGAGCCCTACTTTGATATTTTTCTAATAATATATACACCATATTGAAGAGAATATATTTGTCTAGTATCTAGAGGAAAAATCATTTTGTTACCTCAAGCGGTTTAGAAGTTATACGAGGATAAAGTTGGAAATTTTAGTTTCCGTATATTTTTAGTTTTTTGCTCCTAGCTCAGCTCTCGACCAATGCAAAAAGTCGTCCATGTTGATTTTATATGCAGAAAAATATGCTGAATCATCTGGTACTAGTCTTAATAAATTATACCTCAATACTCGGTTGCTTCTTAAAACAAAGGCTTTTACACGCTTGGCCGCCGTTCTAAAAAAGAGAAGGGACTTGAGAGGTGGAAAATTGAGGTTTTTCGTAAATAATGTAGTAATATGATGTCATTTTAAGGTTTTTTGGACGCACAGATTTTAATTTTTACGATTTGGCGTCTCTCCTAACTAAAAAAATAAATAATGGGAGGGGCTGGAAACAGGTGAAAAAGGGGGTTAATTGATACAAATATTTAATTAAGATAATATGGATAGGTAATTTTTAATATCACCATTACTAATAAATACTTATATTTCATTTTCAGAAACCACATCAAGCATAGGGAGCGGGAGGGAGTCTTCTATATCAAGAGGCTCTGAGAAACTTCTGAAATATATTATGGACTTTATGAATCCTGAAGAAAAGGTAACTAAATAAGCTTGGCGTTATGAACTGACAATATTTTACATTGTTCTATTTTTTAGGATAGCTTGGACAAATCGCTTGCCAGAGCTATGTATGCCAGTTGCTCTCCTCTCAGTCTAACAGAAAATTTCAAATAAAAACTCCATACGACCAAGTTATACGTTACCTAGTCGATATGATATATCCAAAACGCTATTAGATTCAGAATTTAAAACTGTGTCGGAAAATGTTAATGCAAAAATACGTGAAGCTATAACAGTTGGTGTTCAGTGTGATTGTTGGTCTAATATAGACCACCTAAGTCCTGACGTCACAAAGGGGTAGAGCTTGTCGAAACTTTCCAAACAAATTGATTGTTAACGGTTTTCGGCCCTAAAAGATTTTTAATTTCGAGTTCATTTTAGTTTCGGCTGTGTTTCAGAGTTCTTGTATAGATATTTCGAAAAATTAGCTCGATATTTTGTGGAATTATTTCCTGTTGTTTTAAAGGTAAGCGTTATAATATTTATTAAATTGTTTTAAAGTGTTGTGAGGTTATGTTTATGATTTGTTGTTTTTATAATTTTATGTTTAATACATACAATCTTATTAATTTTCAGGTTTTTATTATAAAAATTACCTAAAAATGACTGCAAAGCATGCTTTAAAGCTGTCGTCTATTTTTGCATTCCTTGAAAATGATAGCAAGGCAATCAAAAAAGGAGAAAATGCACTGGAATCGAATCACGTTTAAAAGATGCAGTTTGATGCTGGTTTAATGGTAATAAGGGGCCAAGTTCAAGCTAGCATGAAGGATAAAGTGTATAAAGTTGAGGTAAGCTTTTTATTTTAAATAAATATATAATCATTTTTTGATAATAAATGATTTCTCCTCAGATAAACCCAAACAAATCAGGACAGATTGAAACAGCAAAATGTATGTGTTCTCGTAGAATAAAGTGTCACCACATAGCAGCATTAGCACTTTTTGGACACTACAATATATCCGTGAGAGATAAAGAATGTACTTGGAATGTCCCTACTAAGTCCAAAAGTGCTCCATTGAAAACAACTGAAGAATTTTATCCATCCAAGCCCTTCAAAGCAGTTGAAGAAAACATAAGTGAACAAGCCAAAAACAAGCTGAGGGAACAATTAAGCAACTTTGGTGATACTGTGGGGTTCACTTGGATCTTACAAGAGGACAACCATGGTAGACTCAATATGAACCTTCCACTCATCGAAGATATTGTTACTGGCAAAAATTTCTATGAGGCTGAAGACAAATTAGAATACTTCAAGGTACAAGTTCCAATTGAAGAGTTTGGGGCAAAAAGCGGTCAAAGACCAAATTTGTCAAAATCGAGATTTCGTCAGATTTTGCATTAAAAATATACTCTCCATCGTCTGGAGCAAAAACCGTCCATGTATTAGCATCAAAATAGCATTTACTTACACATAGCCCTTTTATTGCACCAAACGTGTTGATGGACCGGGTAGGCGCATGTAATAGTTTGTGTCAAAAAGCGTCCACGTGTTGCACATGACCGTTTGTTGCACCAAAAGTCCTTGACCTATATATTTGCTGTTATTCTAACCTCAAAGCGCTCAGTACAGGTTCACACAAGGCACACGATCTTACTTAAAAATGAGTGATTATTTAAGTGATACAAGTGATACTGACCCTTCCCATAACTCAGATGATAGTGACAAGGACCCTGACTATGTAGATTCAAGTGATAACGAAAATAATCAAGGTAGGAAGTTTTTTTTTTTTTTTTGTTCTGTTTGTAAAGCTACTATTTTGGTAAAATTTACAGGATTCACAGCACAAGCTCCTAGTTCAACAACTGATACTTCCGAAGATGAATTTGATGAAGACCAAGCAGGTATGCTTTAAAAAAATAAATAATTGGATATTCTAAAAGATGATTTATTGTTATTTACAGGGCCATCCAGACCACATGTTACTACATCCAGAACTGATACTTCTCATATTACTGCCAACGACGAGATTATTGAAAACGAAGCCGGTAACAATGCGATTTTTTTAAGCAATTTGTTAATCTGAAAGTGTTATTTTTATTTTAGAAAACAACGACGCCGGAATGGAAACTAAAACTAAGAAAAGAAAAAGAAGGCCTGAAAAATGGAAGAAAAATATAAATAAACTAAAAAGAAATTCAGGCAAACAGTATATTAATAAAAAGGGTATAGTTGTCTCGGAAAAGAGGTTGGGTCCTAGATGTCAGTGCCGTGGGAAATGTTTTGATATTTTAACAGAAGTTGAGAAAAACACAATATTTGGAAACTTTTACTCCATGCAAGATAAAAATATTCAGGACTCATACTTGGGTGCACTTATAGATGTGAAAAAGGTAGTAAGGAGAAGAAAAACCACTGAGGTTGAAAAAAAAATCTATTCCTATTACTACCACGTCAAAGTAGGCCCTAAAAGTGTGAAGGTTTGCCGTACAGCCTTTTGTAGCCTGCATGGAATACATAAGTCACGTGTTTTGAGGATTTGTCATTCTAGGGCCTCTGGATCCTTGCTTGAGAAAGATGAGCGTGGAAAACATCAGAATAGACCGAACAAAGTTCCTGACGAAGTGGTTGCTACAGTAAAAAATCACATTGAAAGTTTCCCAGCACGCGAGTCCCACTATTCCAGAAATAAAAATAAGAAAAAATTTCTGCCCGCTGAGTTAAATGTAAAAAAAATGTATGAGCTTTACTTAGAAAAGTATGATTTTGACCAATATTCTCTGTTAAAAAACCATCAAAAAATCAAGCCCAAGGTTACATATGATTTTTACTATCGTTATTTTACGCAAAACTATAACTTATCCTTCGGATATCCCAGAAGTGACACCTGCTCTTCTTGCGACGTAATGAAAATTCGTATTGAAGCTGCCTCGACAGAGGAAGAAAGAAGGGAATTAACAGTCCAGAAGGAAGTGCATCTTCGCAAAGCCCAAGCATTCTATGATGACTTAAAAGAAAAATCAGAACTAGCAGTAACCGATCCCTCTGTCGAAACGATCTGTTTTGATTATCAGCAGAACCTACCACTTCCTGTTTTGACGACTGGTGACATATTCTATGCAAGGCAAATATGGGTTTACAACCAGATGTTCCATTCCTGCTCAAACAACCAATCAGTAAGCTACATGTTTGACGAAATGACTGCAAAAAAGGGTTGCATCGAATCGATTTCTTTTTTAATGCATTTCATAGAGAAATATGTCAGCAAAACTGTCACAACTTTGTACATCTTTACTGACAACTGTGCGGGGCAAAACAAAAATGCGGTAATGGTGCATTTTTTGCTAGCCTTAGTCAGTAATGGAAGATTCAGAAAAATAGTTCATCACTTACCAGAGCCAGGACACAGCTTTTTACCCTGCGATCGAAACTTTGGTCAAATTGAAAAGAAAAAACGCAAGAAAGAGCTTCTTTATTTGCCAGATGAATGGTATGATTTGGTTCAGAGCTGTGGCAAAAAGTTTGTTGTCGAGCGGGTGGAACAAGACATTATATTTGATTTTAAAAGTTATCTTGAACCATATTTTAAGAAGACTTCCGTAATAAAGAAAAAACCATTCACCATTTCAAAGTATAGGATCTTCATCTATGATTCTGTTCAACCTGATCAAGTGCTTGTTACAGAAACTCACAATATTGCTCTTGTCGTCGGATATCCTTTGTATAAATCTCCAGGTACCAAAATCGATTTACATGTGGCTCCTTTAGCATACCATGAGAAGTTAGCCTTAAAAACCAAAAAGTATGACAGCATAATGCCTATTGTCAAAAAATATGTTCCACCTATTTATTTGGAATATTATAATACAATAAAACGGGCAGCAGATGAGAATAATGCCGAAGATTCCGATTGATTTTATCTTAAATGTATCTAGTTTACTTTTCTCTACACTTACTTGTATAAAGCTATGTTGAAGACCGTAGTTATTTGATCTAATCATTAAAATTACATATTTTGTAATTCAATTTGTGTTTTTTTTTTGCTTTATTGGTGGCAACAACCGGCCACGTGCATCTTAAGATGTGAAATAAAAACTTTGTCATTAGCAATATAAAGTGGAAAAATATAGTGTCTTGTTAAGTTTTTAGTTAGCAATTAAACGAAACATACCAAAAAAATATGTCTTGGAAATTAGACGAATGGTACGTTTTTCTCAATTATCTCAAAACTAGGTTCCATGCACGTGACCGATTATTGCACCAAGCTCTTCAATTGAAGACAATGTGATTAATGAAATCGCAATGGCAACTGTCGGGCAAGTGTCTAATGAGAGGTGGTACTTGGCTCGAAAGTACAGATTAGCGGCAAATAAGTTTGGTCTGATAATTTCTGCTTGTAAAAGAAACAGATACCCAGAGAGCCTTTTCGAAACCCTTTTTGGTGAGTTACAATTTAATTTGCATTTACTTTCTAAGAGAAAAATTACAATATTTATTTGTTGCATTCTAGGTATATCTGATTAAAATTTATTTTATTTCAATACAATATAATTTGCATACACTTTCTAAGATAATAATTTCATGACAATACGTATTTGTTACCTGTATTCTAGGTATATCTAGTTAAAATTGATTTTATTTTGATACATTAAAATTTGCATGTACCAACTTTCTAAGAGAAGAATTGAATGTTAATATTCATTTGTCAACTGCATTCTAGGTATATCAAATTAAAGTTTAATTTATTTCAGGATCTTACAATTTGGATGGCATAAAATCTATTCAATGGGGAAGACATCACGAAAAGGACGGATTGAATTATTTGAAGGAAAACCATCAGCTTGAAGTGAAACCAACTGGCATATGGTTGACATGTTCAGGACTTTTGGGGGCAAGTCCTGATGGCTTAGTTGGAGACGATGCCATTGTCGAGGTTAAATATCCCTAGTCTTTCAGGAATGATGTTTTGTCAGAAAAACTAAAATCCGACAAAAAATACATCATTTATTATAATGAAAATGGTGAAATGTGTTTGAACACAGAACATAATTATTATCACCAAATTCAGGGAAATTTGTCAATATTAAAAAGACAAAAATGCTTCCTAGTCGTATGGAAACCCAAAGAAGCAATAGTAGTGATGGTGGAATACGATCCTGCTTGGGAAATACACATAGGCATTTTGGAATTTTTTTTTTTTTACTCAGTATTTTCCAAAATTAATTAAAGATTAAAAATTGTATGTTTTCGTTTACTTTAAGGATTTCTTAGCGGCTTACCGTTTATAACCTATATTTGTTTAGTAATAAATTGAAATTGTATAATATGAAAATATGTAGATAAATAGTTTAAAGTTAATTAATATTTAACAAAATGTAAACTTGATTATTTTTGTCTTATTTGGAAAAACCTATTTGGAAAAACCTATTTGGAAATTACCTACCTGGAAACTACACTTTTCCAGGTACCAGAGTGCTTTGATTACTTTCGGACCGCGAAACCACAACCCTGGTTATATTCGGACCACAGCCTTAAAGTGTTTTTTTTTTTTTTTTAAAGATAAAAGTCAAAATGACATTATGTTGACAATACAATGAAAAATTGTTAATGCTTTCAAATTTTTTACGTAGAAAAGGCTTGTGTTGCCAACATAGTTACTAAATTTTTGACTTGGGGAATTATCTCTAAAAAAAAAAACAGACTTTAACTCTGAATGTTTTTGTTTTAACTGAAAAACTAAAAATTATTTCATATTTACCAACATAATAATAATTATTATGTAAGGAAGTTTGAAATGAAAATTTTCGAAAAAGCTAATAATAGACATGTTCGCACAGCAATCACAAACCAGTCAGAGCGAATTTCATTGGTTGAAACTAGTTTTCTGACTGTTCTCATCCAATAAAATTTGCAAGGACTGGTTTGTGGTTGCTGTGCGAACAGGCCTAATAAATGTGGCATTATTTTGACACTCAAGTGGGATTTGGGATATCTTGTGATTTGATAGAAAGAATAAAATATGCTCTTACTTTAAGAAAAATGTAAAAAATATAATTTAAGTATTTTATTATTATAACAATAATATTTAACAATAATATCCTTCAACTTCTATACTGAAAATTGGTTAAAGCTGCACATAGCTGAACTATGATTGAAATTTGGGAAATGTAATGTTTCGGTACATGGTTTAAAATAGAAAACCCTTTCATTTTTCGTATAGCCCTCTCAACATGTATCCTTGCCTTGGCTATTCTTTCTGTTTCAAAAACCTGTGATTCTGTAAATTGTGGTGTGGTTGAAAATGGAGGAATATTCAAAGACACCGCCTCAGGAAGTAGGTTCTTTATTAAGAATCCTTTATCTGCTAGTATAAGGTCACCAGAAACCATTTGTTTTAAAACATCACAATGTTCAACAATGTTTTTATCTGAACTTGATCCAGGGTATGCCTTACTTACAAAAGTAATAAAACCATTAGGACTAACACCTACTAAGACTTTCCATGTATTTCTATGCTTATATGAACTATATGTCAACCTTTGAGTTTCCATACTAGTTGGTACTGCCGAATAAAGTTCTGTACAATCTAATATTATCCTGCAGTTTTTGAAGCTTGAGAATGCAGCAGGTAGAGATGAGCAGAAAATCGCGAACTGCTAAAAATTCACTGCGAATGAAAAGTAGCAATCGCAATCTGCTAACTATTTTGAAATAAACTGCGAAATGTGAATATTACATATTGTTGCAAACAGCTGACGTGAACTTGTGGAACTGCATTCTGCACACACCGAACAGAGAGAGAGAGAGAGGTCGACTAGCGAATAGTGAACGCAGCATATTGCTGCGTTCACTTTAAAATTCGTTGCTTAGCAATCAGAAAATAAAAGAAAGCGTTTTCGAACGCTGCAATTTCTGCGTTCACTATTTACTTCGATGGTAGCAAGAGCAAGTAGCAAGTAGCAACAAAAAATAAAAGACCGCGTTCTCAATCATCCGTGTTTCGAATGTCTCGTCGCTATGCGCCGCATCGCCCGCATCCTGCGTGCAAGCTATTTCCGCGAAGGGCGCGAACTGCGAAGTTGTTTTAATTTAACGCGTATATTTTATTATTTATTTACCAAACCTTGTTTAAACCTATATTTTATTTGTTTCACCTGTCCTGTGATAATATTTGAATTGTTTCAGGTAAGTAAATAATATAAATTTATAGTTGTAAGTAAATGCTCTAATATTTAATTACCTAATAAATGATTAGGTACCGGTTAAACCTACTAACCAAAAGTTTTTTATTATCAATATCACGATTTTCGACCTAGAGCTTTTTTTTTCAGTATGGCACCTATAGCAAAAAGGAGAGAAATAAGTTTTCTTTGGAACTTTTTCAAGGAAGTTGATGACAACTATGCAACTTGCAATTTATGTACGACGAAATTATCGTATAAAACAAGCACAACAAATTTAAAGAGGCACCTGCAAATCAAGCATCCTACAGTGTCTTTGAGTCATGGATCTTCTACGACAAATAGACATGAAGTGACTGAAGTGAGTTTCTTTCTTATTAAGACAAATTTGATAATGATGGACCACAGAAAATTTATGAAATAATTATTATTTCGCAGGAAACGGTCGAGCGCGAGCCATCTACAAACAGTGATAACGATAACAATAATACTACTGCTATTTCAGTTCTATCAACAAGTCAAGGTCAAAATGCAAATACTACTAGCTCTAATCCATGAAACTGTCAAGGACCTCCAAGAATACCTGTTCGACCAGTACCAGTACGGTCATATCAAACTAACATGTCAGTTTTTATTCCTAAAAGGCTAACTCCAAAAGAAAAACAAATAATTGATGAAAAATTACTCCATCTTTTCACAGACACATATCAGCCTTTTAGGATAGTGGAAGAAACTGCATTTTGCGAATTTGTCAAAGCTTTGAATCCTACATATCAATTGCCTAGTCGTCACATGATTTCAAGAACTCTAATACCTGCCCTTCATGAAAAATGTACAAATGCTAGGAATATTTAACTGCCTCTCTTGTAATTCCATTGGCAAATGGAATTTTTTCTGTGTACAAAAAATTTTAAGATAATTCTTTTTCGGAATGTTTGAAGAATCTTATAATAAGGTTAAACCGTTCTTTAGATGAAAGATTTTGCAAATTAGAGAACAGCAATACCCTTTCAATGGCAACATTTTTAGATCCCCGTTTTAAAATGATTGCTTTTAAGGAAAAAAAGAATGGAGATATTGCAAAAAAAATATAATTTCTCTGGTTGCAGAAAAATTTTCTTTGGAGCAACAAGCCTCTTAAACTCGAGCTATGGAAAATGAAAATGTCACTCCAAATATTCCGGACAAAAAATCAATTACCAGAGACTGCGACAATGATATTTGGGCCGACTTTGATAAGGAAGCTGCTGTATTTCAACCAATAGGCACAAGCACTAGCAAGGCTATTATTGAAGTGCAAAGATTTCTAGATGCGGACATACTACCTAGAAAAGAAAATCCACTAGTTTGGTGAAATCAAAATAAGTACATGTTCCCGCATCTAGCTTTAGTGGCCCAAGAACGCCTTAGTGCAATTGCTACGTCAGTGCCTTGCGAAAGGCAATTTTCGAAAGCTGGGCAAATTGTTACTGAACGCAGAAATCGGCTAAGCTGCACAAAAACACAAATGCTTTTTTTTTTAAATACTAATTTAAAAGCTTTAAAGTTGCAAGGAATACATAGCAATTAATATTCATGTTTTGTTTTAGAATTAGTTTTATTAAGTATTTTTAATTTATTTGCAATACTTAACACTTCCAAAGAATAATATTTATTTTTACTTTTTGTTGTCTTTATAATATTCTTCAGTTTATATTTTTGTTTTTGTTTCTAGCCTGAAAGACCATAATTTTTGAATAAATTTACTTTTTCGTGAGAAAATAAACCTCCTTCCTTCGTTTTATTTATTTATTTTTTTATCAATCTACATCATAAAAAAAGATCAATCACTGACAAAGACATAGCATACCTAACCTATCATACACAACAACATACTAACGTAACTAACGTCGCACCTGCAAGCGCAACACGACGTATGGAGCCACAATTATCATGACGTCATTCGCAGTTTTCATTCGCAGTTTATATTCACAGTGAATAAAAAATCGCATTCACAGTTATAACTGCGAATGAATATTCGCGACTTAGCTCATCTCTAGCAGCAGGAAGACAGGCTTGGTTCTTCTATCTGGAAGGTATCGTTTTCATTGATTGGTTGAAAAGCACTTCATACAAAGTTTTTTGTCGGCACATTCCACTCACGGATGTGCCTAGAATTTTGCCAGTTTTTCCACGCCAAATTCATCGCCGGGTATGTGCTGGTATAGCATTACCCAGAGTTTCTCCGGGGCTTTCGCCCCAACCAAGTTTGAACCTTCTAGGCCAAACTCCAAATTTCCGATTTTTTTGTAATAAATTCATAGCAGAAACAAGTAAGGGTTCCTGACAACACAAGTCAGAACTCTGGAAAAAGTTAGGGCACGTCTATACAACCAACCATAGACGAAAAGTGAGGGTACTAGAACACATATCACACAAATTTCTCACCCAAAGTCAGGGCACGTCCGCTCCTTACTAAATAAGTAAGGGGACTTCGATATAGACGAATTCCAAAAATTTTTCTAACTAAAGTCAGAGCACGACGTCTCCTTGCAAAGTAAAGTAAGGGGACGTGGACTTCAAATTTAATAAAAGTCAGGGTACCAACTACCAGACAGAAACCAAATACAAGTGAGGGGACGTTCAAAATCAGCAAACGTCCAATAAGTTGAGGCACGTTTTCATCTCACAACTTGTTCCCAAAACAAGTAAGGGGACCTAGCAAAGTTGGGGCACGCCAGTTGCCTAAACATATTTTTGCGAAAACTGGCAAGCGATGATGCCTCCAACGAATCTGATACGGTAAGTGTGATGAGCTGCACTTCCACCGTCTCGGCCAAAAGGAGCATCCCTAATCAATCAAAACAACGAGGATGAAGTTAGAGAAAACAATGAGATAATGATCGCCCATCTCAAAGTTACCCATAGGTATACCAAGCCAAAACCGGCTACCAAGAGGAGACTCACTAAAAGCCCAGATAAAAGCCGAAAATTCATGAAGGGAAGTGGGACTGTGTTCAAACAGCCCCCTAGACCACCCGCCCCTACAACAAGTGAGGATAGACCCCCCTCACCCATACTAATAAAAGAAACGGGCTTCGGCAATCTTTTTAACGTGCCGGTTGAAAACCAATACCAGGTCTTAGAGGCAAAAGATCGAGAACCTACAGCCAAGGCCCTGGATAACTCGAGGGAGGAGATAAGGGCCAAAGCAGCCCAAGCTACCCGACCAAAAGCGCCTACAGCCCCAATCACAGGCAAAAAAATCCCTCCCCCCCCCAATAGTTATCCGGGGTAAATTGAACAACCATGAAAGGTTCCTGGAAATGGCGGAGACAATTACCTCTGAGCCTCTGGAAATGAAGTACGCCAGGAACTCCGTCCACAAAAAACGCTACTGATCATAGCAGTATGGCTCGGCACCTACAGAACGATGGTGCCGAGTTTCATACCTACACCATGCCCACGGAAAAAATGCACGCGTTCGTGCTTAGAAACATGAAAGGCAATTACACAACGGTAGAGATGAGGGAGTACCTGGCGGACAGGTATGCCTTAAGGACCAAGGAAATATACCTAATGAAGAACACGGGGCAGGATAACCCACTATACCTGGTGGTTACAAGTTCTGACTGGACATTGGCCAAACTTCGGGACACCGGGTAATGTCGATTAACTGCCCGGTGTACAAATATAAGAAGCAGCTGCTGGACGAAAGAAACGCTCCCAGGCCTGTCTATGTTCCTGCCCCGCAACCTCAAAATCCAGCCTGGGGCCGAAGAGCGGCCCAGGCTCCAAGACAACAGCCGCCACAACAGCGACCACCACCGGGGCAAAGACCCCCACCACCACCACAGTTCGCCTACGACAGGGACTTCCCCAGCGGACTTGTGCGCGAACGCGGTGGCCGTGAAGTGCGCGAACCCTTGGCCGATCGTACTGGCCAACAAGCCACTGTCAACCCCTTGGAGACTTTCAATGCGTTCCAATCCAAATTTGCCTGCCTCGACGCGTTGGTAAATATGGACGGCATGATGCGAGCATTGGACCATGTATGTATGTATGTACGTATGTGTTCGACGTGTCAGTTGCACTGCGACCAAGGTTGATCTATTGTACCCCTCCTTCTGCTGCTAAGTTCGGGTTTCCTGCTTAAAGCAGCCCCTCTATTCCTAGGTCCTTTAGGAATTTTAGGATGTCTAGCGGTTCCAGGGCTGGAATGTCTTCCAGCTGTATAAGGGGACTTCCCAAGTTTTTCATTCTTGAGCGGCTTACGGCATCGCAGTTCAGTAGAAGATGGTGAGGTGTTTCTTCACCGTCTCCACAGAATTGCAAGTGTTACCTTCTTCCAACCCCAGATTATGTAGGTCTGAAATGTCCCGAGAGAAACCCGGTTAGAGTTTTGAGACTTTTCTTGCTAAGGTTTACCAGCAGTTCCGATCTTTTTTGGTTGTAGCTACCCAATAGATCTTTGGCCTGTCGTAGTCCTGGTTGGTCTAGCCATTGTTTGTTCCTTAGCCGGTTCTCTTCCTTTTTGAGGATTTCTTGGAGGTGCGCATTTCCGACGCCGCAGAATGGTTCTGGCCCAGTGAAGGGTGTGACCGCTCCCGTTTTTGCAAGTTCGTCTGCGCGTTCATTGCCCTCGACTCCTATGTGTCCAGGAACCCATAGTAGGGTTACTTTGTTTTTCTTCCCCAGCTCATTGAGTTTCTGTAGACATTCCCATACTATCTTAGAATTGATTACCGGCGACCTCAATGCTTTGATAGCTGCTTGGCTGTCAGACATTATTACAATTTCTCGTTTTCGGTACCTTCTGTTCAGGTTGAACTGCACGCATTCTCCGGTCGCGTGAAGTTCGGCTTGGAATATGCTTGGTGATTTGCCCATTGGCTCCGAGTATCTGGTTCGTGGCCCGAATACTCCGAATCCTGTCCCCTCAGCAGTTTTGGAGCGGTCTGTGAACCATTTGATGGTGTTTGCTTTAAGGGACTGGATACATTCTATGTTCCCTCTGTTCTTTGTACTTAGTTCGATGGAAAAGTTTTTCTCGAAACTGAATTTATCAACAATCGCGTCTTTTGGTAAGTCCATGAGGTGTGCACAGTTTGGGAGAGGGAAAGCTCTGCCAGAGTGCGTTTTCCCTTGTAGACTTATCTTCGCCAGTCTTAAATGTGATTCACTGGCAACCCGCTTCACTATTGTGTGAAGTGATGTTAGGTCTAGGATGACTTCCATTGCCGCTGTTGGGCGTGTTCTCATTGCTCCTGTTATGCATAGACATGCAAGTCTTTGTACCTTTCCTAGCCGTTACTAGCTGGGTTCGGCTGTACCAGGCTACCGCTCCGAAGGTGATGATAGGTCTCACTATCATGGTATACATCCATCGTAGGATCGCTGGGTTACAACCCCACGTTTTGCCCGCAATGTTTTTACATACCATGAGTGCCGAAATTGATTTGTTTATTATGTTCTCTATGTGTCGGTTCCAAAGGAGTTCAGAGTCTAGGGTTATTCCTAGGAATTTAACTTCTTGTTTCCAGTGAAGCCTGCTTCCATCGAGGCGAATGTTCCTCAGGTATGGGACTTTCGTTCTTTTTGTAAATGTTACCAGTGTGGTTTTTGATGAGTTAAGATTCAGTCCCACAGTCTGACACCATTCCTTCGTGGTTCGGAGTGCTTTTTCTATAAGGTCACAGAGTATTCGTTCGTGTTTGCCTCTGGCTATGATGACAATATCATCGGCGTAACCAAGGCAGTTGAAGCCCTGGTCTGTCAGCGTATTTAGTAAGTCATCGACTACTAGGCTCCATATCAAGGGTGAGAGTACCCCTCCCTGTAGACATCCTCTCGTTGTGGTGACTTGTATGCTTTGTTCCCCCACATCCGTTTCTGCAGTTCTGGTGGCTAACGTTTCACACATCCAGGTGGATGTGGTTTTGTCCACTCCTTTTCTGACAAGCGCATTCTTTATTGACTCATGAGAGGTGTTATCGAAGGTCCCCTCTATGTCTAAGAAGGCGCAGATGGCTACTTCTTTATTCAGCAGTGTGTTTTGGATGCTATCAGTGAGTTCAAATAGAGCGGTTTCTGTTGATCTGCCCGCTCTGTAAGCATGTTGCCTAGGATGTAGTGGCGTCTTTTCTAGAACCACTCCCTATCCTACCCAGACGCAGTCAAAGTGTTGAGTGAGTGCACACAATCTGGTTTATATTCAAAAGCGCCCCCAATGAGCAACACAATGTCCGTAGAAGCCGCTGCAGGTACCTCACCACGAACCACTCATTATCTCCAAATGTTCGCAGACCTGGATCCGCAAGCGCTTCAAATAATACTCTCGTTTTTGGACTTAGTCAAGTCAAAGTTTAGGTCGCAATCATACAATGAGTTTTTGGACAGCTTCACGATGTTTAGGGCTCAACGTATCGATGCGACGGGCCTTATCCAACGTGTGTTGGACCTATTTGAAGGTTTTCCGGATTTGGTTGTTGAATTCAGAGAATTTTTGCCATCGAATTATACGATTGTGGAGCAAAGAAGTGACCAGGGTGGTACCAAGTTTTTCCTATCGGTCAACGTGCCCAGTCAGCCACCACCTCCACCTATTCAGTTGCCGCAATCATCGCCACGGCAACTGCAACAAGCGGTGTCTTCGTCTGCAGAACGAATCAGGCAAATACACCTCGAAGACGTAGCGAACCAGATTGTTGAATTGAATCACCAGGTAAGGATTTGTAGCTATCAGGGTAGATCTTTCCTTACTGACACAGGAAGCCTGCCCTAGATTATTTCTGACAAATTATAACCAAAAATTTCAGTTATATCACCAGCTAGCTCAAAAAAGAATAATAATACTGAAAGTATAGTCAGTACTTACTAAACATGGGTCTCCTGGACCTAGGCATTGTTCTCGGCAGAAGAAATCAATAAAAGTAAGGCTTTAAAACAAAGGACAAATTTATGACTAAACTTATTAGTGGAGTAAAATCATAATGAAATTATGACTTTGAGTGATTCCGAGGTATAACCAGATGAAACCTATATCATCTTGTAGAGGACACTCTGAGGCATAGGAAATGGGAACAGCGTTGCCAGTTTAGTACAATTGTACTAGATCTAGTACCTTTTCAAAGAATCTGGTACGTTAGTACGTTTGACTTCAAATCTGGTACCTTTTTGTAGAAATTTCGACACATAAATTTTCGGTTTTCATGATTTTGGTATCGATACCGTCTCGAACCCTAAACATGTTTCGAGGGCGCGTTGACAATTACGGGCTTCGGCTATATTTGCCTCTTTTCTTTTTTTTTTTCTGAACAAAGAACGAAAACATCTTTTATAACAACGCTCCCAAAACCGTGTTTATAAAAATGTGTGTATATTATTCCAAAATATACCTACTATAGGCCTTTTCGGCAATCGCTCATCCGATAAACCCAGTTGATGTTTTGTGTCTTTTTTAAATCGTATTTATTAAAAAGAGATGAAAGACTGCTGATGATCAGGTTAATCGGATTAGCGCTTCCGAAAAGGCCTTATGTTTATGTTGTATTATTTTTTGTACCCAACCTCATCATAAAAAGAAATCTAGTATATTTTCACGAAATTTAGTACATTTTTACCAAAAAATTCCAATACGTAACCTAAAAACATTATGGCAACGTTGAATGGGAATGTACAACTTTTTTTAGTAGGACTGAACTTTGAAATCGGCCCTTAAACGTGACTGAGCTCGAATTTGAAAAACCACGTTTCTCTAAACATTACCCGCTGTATTAATTTAAGCATCTAAAATTCTGATTTTTTGCACACTTATATTTGAAACATGGGCGCTTCTAATGACAGTTCAGACTGGATACCAGGTCATAGGTTACGCAGATGACCTAGCCATTGTAATCAAGGGCAAACATGAAGGCGTAGTGACAAGCCGAATGCAAAGTGCCCTAAACATCGTTAAAAATTGGAGCGAAAGCGAAGGACTATCCCATCCACAAGAAGAAGGAAGCTAAATTTGAAAGCCCGACCCTTAACGGTACACAACTGACATTTTCCAACGAAGTGAAGTACTTAGGGGTCACCCTGGACCGATCCCTCACTTGGAACAAAGAGTTAGAGAAATTATGCTCTCGAGCTACATCAGCCATTTGGTCATGCCGAGAACTTGTTGGCAAAACATGGGGGCTAAAGCCAAAAATGGTATTTTGGATTTACCAAACTAAAATAAAGCTCATGGTCACATACTCCTCAATGGTGTGGTGGCCCAAAACCGAACAAGTCACTGCTCAGATCAAGCTAAGAAAGGTGCAAAGGCTGATATGTCTATGAATAACGGCAGCAATGTCAACTTGCCCCATCGCAGCCCTAGAGACGCTACTCAACATGCCCCCACTTCACCTATTTGTGAAAAAGGAGGCAATAGCTAGCGCTCACAGGCTATTCCAAATAGACAAGTTCAAGTCTGGCGATCTGAGGGGACATCTGAGAATCCTTGATCTAATAAAACTGGAGAATACCAGCAAACCAAGTGACCACATGATGGTCAGATTGGACTTAGAGATCCCCTTCGCAGTGGTAATAAACGACCGCCTATCATGGGAGAATAAAGAATTGCCACAAGCAGACAATGCATCTCTGTGGTACACAGATGGATCCAAGCTAATGGAAGGAGCTGGACTGGGCATTTTCGGCCCTAACTTCAAGCTCTCCAAGGCATTGGGTAAATATCTTACAATATTTCAATAAGAACTGCTTGCCATAGATATATGTGCACAAGAGTGTCTTAGCCAAAGCCTCAAAAGAAAACACATCTTCATACTATCGGACAGCCAAGCTGCCTTAAAATCCTTAAGGGCTTTCAAATGCACGTCAAAACTAGTCTGGGAGTGTAAACAGACCCTAAAAACACTAGCGACACATAACCAGGTAACGCTGATGTGGCTGCCTGGTCATCGAGGCATAGAAGGAAACGAAGAAGCAGATGGCCTCGCAAAGGAAGGGGCCTCAACACTGTTAGCGCCATTTAATTTGAATTTGAATTTCGCGCCTTATTATGATGGATGGCGTTGACAGCAGTGACATTGTTTTGAAATTCTTGACTTGACAGATGTCTAGAGAGAGAGAGGTTGATGAGAGGGGGGGTTCACGACACCCGGTTGTTAGAATTAGGCCCGGTTGTACAAAGAATGGTTCAACACAAGTTCTGTTGAACCGTCGTTCAATGTTGAACGTGGTTCAGAGTTTCGAGTGTTGTACCACTGCCGGTTTAACTGAACCATCAGTTGCAATGCCCACAATAAAAAGAAGAAAGAAAATAGGCGCAACCCAACCCATAACCTATCAAATTCATTGTTTATTTTTTGTGTTTTCTTGTTTACTATTTATTTAATTTTAAAGGCCCATTTATAAACTTGACGTTGTAATTCCGTTACCGTTTGCGCCTGCCGTTGTGAACATAAAAATATAGAATTCCATAAGATCGTTTATATTCGCGGCCGGCCTCACCGTCCGCCGTTAGCTCTGCCGTTGCATTCCGTCAGACATAAATTTTCATTTGTTTTTTCACACAGGACAGCGGACAGGTCACAGATGCATAATTTCATCTATGATAAATTACACTGCTTGTTTCTCTAAACTGAATCTGTCCTTGAATTATTCTTTATCATTACAAATGTACAAATGATATGTTCGCTGTTTGATTTCTGAATATCTGTGGGGCCCGAGAAAGTATACATAATTTATATGTAACATAAAATTAAGTAATTTTTGAAAATCTTCTTCATCTGTAATATCTTCCCACAGTTCCCACTCAAGATCCATTTTCAATTAAATATAAAATAACGAATATCCACTTGAAAAAAAATATATATTCAAAAGCCATGGTGATCCCTTATCAAAAAACAAACAAAACATAGGAGAGTCAGGTTAGAAAAACCCAAAAAAGACTTGAACTCCCCTTGAACGCCCAAATTCGGACGTTCAAGATCAACCTCAGTTCACACTCTGAACCGACCATGTACAACGAGTTTTTTCCTTTGAACCAGTAGTCAGTGTGAACTTCGGTTGAACGTCCGTTGTACAACCGGGCCTTAGTTAGTAAAAATTATGTATTTTTGAGTGGAAAATAAATGCTGTTTTGTTCGAAATAAGTTTACTTTATTTTATGGAAAAGTGACCAGCCTGTCTCCAACAAATCAGATGTGGGATTAGTGGGATTTTAGACGCCCTATGAATAATGGCACATGAACGTGAAAAACATAACCTCGAAGAATGGAGCAGCGCCAGTGTTCCTAACGAAGATTTTGAGTCGTTTTTTTCGAGCCAGCAAATGAATTTTTCTCAAGGTAATCCGCCCCAGGACGCACCACCACAAGCAGATATTAATGCGCTAATAAATACAATGAATACAGTTTTACAACAGAATGCTATGTTGATTAGAATGATACAAAATAATCAAAATGTACAGACACAAACACAAAACGTTCCAGCCGACCATCGAAATTACCATTTGTTATCGGATTTTTCCAAAACTATTGCCAATTTTAACGCAGAAGATTTGTCTCAAAGCCGACATTGGCTTGAAAGTTTAGAGAGCACTGCTGCCTTGCACCATTGGCCGAATGAATTCACTCTCGAAACTGCAAGGACTCATTTAGTTGGACCAGCATTACACTGGTACGAATCAAGGAGAAGTAGTATTCATAGTTGGGATCAGTTTAAGACCATTTTTTCTCATACATTTGTGCATGAAAAAAATGTTACATCACTATGGAGAACAATGACTTCTAGAGTACAAGGCAGTAAAGAAGATATTTCATCATATTTTCATGATAAAGTAAGATTATGTAGAGCCCTAAATCTTAACTTTGGGGAACAAAAAGAGCAAGTTGCTATAGGGCTTGCTTCTAGGGAACTGGCAAGTATGATTATGGCTAAATCCCATGTAGATATTGACAATGTTTACCATGATTTGATAACATTTGACCGTCTGAATAATGAAAGAAAACAGAGACATGCACCCCCAGTTTCAAGAGTACCAACACCAACAACCAGACCACTAGCACGACCAGTTCCAACTGTAACACAACCAAGGATGCAAATGAGCAATAGCATGGCCGGCAATAGAAATCCAGTCCAGAATTTTCCAGCGCGCCACATGAAGTGCTACAACTGTTCCGAAGAGGGCCATTATGCGTCAGCCTGCACAAAGCCCAAACGAGAAAAGGGTTCCTGTTTTAATTGTGGGTCCCTTCAGCATAAGGTAGCAGACTGTCCAGGTACAACTGTGAGTAATAAAAGTCATTTTACAACCAATTTAGTATATTCTGGTGCACCGTCTTACCAAATTTGTGGTGAACTTTTATTTGATAATTATGTAGAGCCTATAAAAATATCACCAATTATAGATACTGGTAGTCCTGTGTCTCTTATTTCAGATACATTAGTACCTAGCCATTTAGTTGATAAAAATACAGTTACTACAAATTTTCAAGGTATTAATCACTCTGATTTAAGAATTGTTGGGAAATTTAAATCTTTGCTATTGTATAATGGATGGAAGTATGATGTAATTTTTTTGGTAGTGCCAGAAAATACAATGAGATTTGATAGTTTGTTAGGTCGTGATTTTATTGCAAATAATAAGTTAAATATTAGTTTTGGTGAAACAATACAAATAAAAAAAGAAGAGGTATCTGAAATTATGAATATTTGTTATGTAGATGAAAC